CTCCAGCCCCTCAATGTCCTTCTTGTATATCAAAAAATATCAAGAAAAGTTGATTAAGAGTGAAGGGGAGTCAAGGGTGTCACCCGTTACTGGTGCAACAACTTCAACTAGATTGCTCCTGCAAGTGCCTGCTGATGGTGACCTGCTCCTGGGCCCCAAAATAAACACCTGGATGTCCCTCTGTCTCCACAGGTTCTCCGTGGAGGAGCCAGCCAGCGTCCCTTGACCCCCAACCAGAACCAGCAGGGCCAGCAGACGGACCCACTGGTGGCCGCGGCCGCCGTCAACTCCGCCCTCGCCTTCGGCCAGGGGCTGGCAGCAGGAATGCCAGGTATGGCCAGGGCAGGAGCAGCTTCTGCAGGGCCCAGGGAGAGCCATGGGGGTGGATCTCATGTCTCCATGTGTCATGTTTGCCTGGGATTCAGCAGTGTTTGTCTCCATCACTTTGGGGGTTAATCTGTGGCTGCAGGAGGGGTTTCGGTGTGACCCCAACCAGCTCTGCAGCACAGAACCTCAGAATCAGGGGGTAGGTGCCTGTGTCACAGGGGAAAACAACTGTTATCCACTGTACAGGTGCATTAGTTACTTGGGTATTCCAAAGAATTGGGAAATTGCCTTCAGATTTTCCCGTGGCTCATTCGAGCTTACGGGATCTGCATTGGAAACCTCCGAGAGGGATCTTAGTCCTGTTCAGTCATCTTGTGTCTCCATCCCTGCCCAGGGCTTGACTTCCACAGATCAGGGACTTCCCCTTCAGGATTGCTTCTTTCTAATTGCCTAAAAACAGGAAAAGAAAAGGGATAAAAGCAGCGGGTTTAATTCTGATTTATCATTCTTCCTGAGAGGAGCTGCTGTATGAATTCTAACTCTGATCCACGAGGCTGCTTTTGACATTCAGTTATTCAGAATATTTATTGTAATGGCAGAGGACAAACCTAAGCATCTTTTAGAATAAGGTGGTGGTCAAATGTAAGGAAAAAGGATTAGTTGGACTTCAGATCTCCTTGCTGGAAGTGTCACATGGTTGTAAATGTGGGTTTTAATAGTTTAAGAAGAATGTTGCTGTATTAAGTTACAAAGTGAACTGTAATGTGCATGTTTCCAGCAAGCTGCAAATTTCCTTAAATCTGTTATTTGGGTTATATTGGAAAAGCAAATATACATTTATATATGTTTATATATGTGTGTATATATATATATTTGCAAGGCAAATACTTACAGAGAACTTTCTCTTTGTGACCTCCCCTCACCTTGGAGAAACTCTCTATTTAATTTGAATGTCTCCATTTAATTAGAACTCTATAGTAAGGTACCTAAATCACTATATACTACTGACAGTGTGCTGCTGTGTGTATCACCAGCATACTTTAAAGTGTTTGTTTTTATATATTAAAGAATGATTTATGACATATATATTATATATATTTATACATAAATTATATATAATACATATTATATATTTAATATAT